TCAGTTCCTCAGTTTCCCCATATATCCAGTAAACATACTGCTCCCTTCTACTCTGAGTGCTTCTGACTGACTCTCTGACCTAAGGTCATTGTGGACACCTGACCATGGCCTCAGAGGTCAGTCCTGATTGAGGGAGACATTGTTTTAAGTGAACTGAGACTTCTACTCCTTTCCTGTATCACAAAAAGACTAAATCTTTTGGGTGTAAGTCCTGGGAAGGGATGATTTAATGTCCAGATAGGGAGGGAAAGGTTGTAGAGACACAGAAAGGTGCCAGGAAGAGGCAGGTGGCCTTCCTTTGGAAACAGAAGAGAAGAAATGGATAGAGTATGACCTGTGGAGCTAGGCAGGATAGGTTCTGATACCAGATCTGCAACATACCAGATTTTGGGTGAGCTAGTCTCATTGAACCTTGATTTCTTCACATGTAAAGCAGAGATTAAGCCACATTCATTATTGGGTTGTGAGTATTTTATGAAATATCAGATCATCCTAGGGCCTCCAAGGACAGCATGCGGCTCTCTTTGTAACCAAAACTGTTGTCAGTTGAATGTCTGCCAGGAAAATGGTATTGAGGGGCTCTGTGACTGTCTATCCACAGCCCTCATGCTCTTCACCCAGACAGGTAACCCCAGGGGAGGGTTTCTCAAAGGCGCTATTAAGACAGATGGGACACTGGACTTAATTTGCAGAAATTTCATATGTACAGCATTCAGGATTCTTGCCCACTGCAGGCCTGCAGAGGGAAGGCAATACCATCGAGTGGCTGCAGAGGGCGGGATGATGTGCCCAGTGACTTGCCTGTCTTGGGCGGGAGCCTGCAGAGATAGCTCAGTGGCCTCACATTCTGGACCCCAGCACCTCCCAGGAGATCCTCCAACTCTTCTACACACTTTCACTGTGCAGGCCCTGCAGGAATCATGTGCTAGCCCATAAGTGGGAGTCCATGCTCTACTGGAGCTACCCCACGTTGACAAGCCTCTGCACTTCCTACCAAAGGCTTGTGGATTCCTGAACTTTTAACAGTTCCTGCTGGGATTTTTATCAACTAGAGTTTAGTGGTGGAATTTCAAGCAAAATTAGGAAACTGTTTCTGGGTCTTGGAGCTTTCTAAACACAAGTGATAGGCTTCCTCAAGAACTCCAGCTGCCACAGTCTTGGAGGGATGCTCACTCGCTCTTGCAATGGCTCCTTCATTCTGGATGGACTCTGCCTGGGATAAGGTTTCCCTTCACAAAGGACAGGGGCTTGTGTCCCTGTCACCCTTCCAGGAGTCCTACCTCTGCCTTGGGCAGGGGGCCTTCCTTCCCTGGTGGTTCCATTCATGGGTCCATTCTCTCCCTCTTCATTCCACAGACTCCCAAAGCATCTCTTCAGCTCCAGGCCTGCAGTGGGGACAAGGATCCTCAGATAGGCCATCTCTAATCTCAGCACACTCACATGGGGTGTGATAGCACTTGGGCACAGGGGACACATAGAAGAGGTCAGCCCAGAAAGTCAGCAGGTGAACCAGTGAGGGCACAAGGTACAGCCTCAATTCACCAGGTTTCCATCCCTGCAGCTAGTCAAGACCGCTGAGTTGGACCCCTCCCGGAACTACCTTGCTGGCTTCCACCCTCATGGAGTCCTGTCAGTCGGAGCTTTTACCAACCTGTGCACAGAGGGCACGGGCTTCTCCTCAGTTTTCCCTGGCATCTGCTCATATCTGACAACGATGAGCATATATTTCCGGGTCCCATTCTTCAGGGATTACATCATGCAAGGGGGTAAGCCTTCCCAGAACTGGAGAGCCCAGGAAAATGAGGGCTGCAGGCACAGAGGAGGGATTTCAGGGAGGGCTTCTAAGAATTCTGTATTTCCTCCAAGAACATGTGTAGTAGAGAAGGAGGCTAGACCCAAGGAAGCACTTCCCACAGCTCTTTTCCCAGCAATGAGGAAAAGTGAGGGGTTGGGAAGAAGGGAACAACTCAGTCCCAGTCCTCAGGGAACTCCCAGCTGTAGGCGGAGGGTGAATAGGAACCTACCACATCCCCCCTGTGGCCCCTGCCCCCTTCACCCCATAGCTAACCACATTACTCTCTCCCCAGGGCTGGTCTCAACAGACAAGGAGAGTGTTGCTCACATTCTGAGCAGGAAAGGAGGTGGCAACCTAGTGGGTATCACTATTGGGGGCATCAAGGAGGCACTGAAAACCAGACCTGGAGCCAACGAGCTGGTGCTGCGGAACCGCAAGGGCTTTGCCAGGCTCGCCCTCATGCACGGGTATTGGGGAGAGGGCTCTGGGTTCAGCTGGAGATTGGCAAGGATTGTAGTTTGGAGGGAAGACAGTAGAGATTAAGGCAGGTCCTCTTTTAGCAAGAGATGTTCAGTCCATTCACAGAGAGGATAACTTAGCAAGATAGTTACTGTCTCATGTCCAAATACCCAGAGAAGATTCTAGAAGGGAGACTAGTTGATCAAAAGGACTAGGTGTGATGGGTCATATTACCCGAAGTTGGCATTATATCTGAGACCTAGGGGATCTGAGAGAACGGAGTTTGGGGCACAGCTTAGAGCAGTTATCCAACCTTGAAGCACCTCTGAAGAACACAAGCTAACTGGGGCAGAAGAGATTTTCCCAGAAACTTTGCAGATGTTTGATGTTTGGGAGGACTCTACAACATTCTGATCTCCTTGTCGTGGTAAAACTGGGAGGTGGCGCTCCTAAGAGGAGCTGGTACCTGCCCACCATCACAAAGCAAAGCTGTAGCACAACTGGGAGTTACCTGAGGCCACCTACTTCCAGCCCAGGGCTTTGTCCTCTGATGCAATTTCTGTCACAAGCTTCCTGCTAGGTGACCAATTTGAATCTTCTTGCCCCTCCACATGCCCTCTCTCCTGTCTCTTTCCAGAGCAGATCTGGTGCCGATCTTCTCCTTTGGGGACAATAACTTATATTCCCATGCAAAGAATTCTGGCTTTTGGTGGAAATGGTTCAGTGATCAACTGTACAAGAAGATAGGTCTTACCATCCCGCTCTTCTATGGCCGTGGAGTCTTCCAGTACAGTTTTGGTTTTATGCCCTACCGCCAACCCATCACCACCGTGGGTGAGCCTAGACCTGGGCTGGGGTAGGGAGGTGGGGGAAGGTTTCAGAGCAAGAGGCCTGGGCTCTGTGCTGCAAGAGAACATGGACTTGGGTTGGACATATCCTTGACCAAGTGGAGCTCATGTTCTAGAGGGTGAAATAGAGACACAGGCAAATAACCCTGATAAAAGGCAGTCTGGGATGAGAACTGTAACTAAGGTACAAATAACCATAGCCACTACTGATTACCAAGCACCTGATGTGTGGCAGGCACTGCAATGGCTCCTTACAGCTCACTTTTTTGGGTAACCTTGGAGGTAGACACTCATTCCTATTTTATTGAAGGCAAACTGAGACTCAGAGAAGATAAATCACTTCAAACAGATCCTCATGCCCTTGAGTAACAACACTGAGGCTTGAATCAGGATCTGCTTGACTTTTATGATGCCAGAGAATGAGGGTTTAATTCTGACCAGACAATCCCTTAAGACTTTTGGAGAAGATGAATACAAGGGAAGGGCATTCCAGGTCTGTTAGAATGAGATGGATGAAACTGGAGCCCATTATACAGAGCGAAGTAAGCCAGAAAGATAAAGACCATTACAGTATACTAACACATATATATGGAATTTAGAAAGATGGTAACGATAACCCTATATGTAAAACAGAAAAAGAGACTCCGATGTAAGAGACTTGTGGACTCTGGGAGAAGGCGAGGGTGGGATGTTTCAAGAGAACAGCATCGAAACACATATATTATCTAGGGTGAAACAGATCACCAGCCCAGGTTGGGTGCATGAGACAAGTGCTCGGGCCTGGTGCACTGGGAAGACCCAGAGGGATCGGGTGGAGAGGGAGGTGGGAGGGGGGACCGGGATGGGGAATACATGTAAATCCATGGCTAATTCATTTCAATGTATGACAAAAACCACTGCAGTGATGTAAAGTAATTAGCCTCCAACTAATAAAAATAAATGAAAAAAAAAAAAAAAGAATTGTGTGTAAAGTAGCAATCAGCAGGCTATAAAGGAGAACCCGAGGGATTTCCCTGTAAATAATGGGCATGGGCTTTAGTGCATGTACTTAACACCATCTTTTCTGCCATATGGTCATCTCATTTGCTTTTGTCTTAAATTCCAACTAGGTTCCAATGGCAAAGCTTATAGAGAGAAGTCTATTCATCTCCACCCACCCAATCATTTCCTAGTTGAGTACAGATTTGGCCAACCCTCTACACCATGACTTTTCCTGGGTTGTCTGGTAATATTTTCATGGATATAATTCACAACTAATGCCTCCAGAACCATTCCCAAGAGAAGAACACAGAACAACTGCTTTCTGAGCCAGGCAGAACAAGAGTAATGCAGTTGATAGGTCCTCCCATGTCCTCCCTAGAATGGGGGACACTGCAGACCAGCATGGAGGGAGAGGAAGAAGAGGCATTTGGGCTGTGAGCCACCTCCTCCCAGACATACAGACACTTCCACTCATGGCATCTAAGACTCCCAGATCCATGTGTCCATGAGGCTAAGAGCACATCCTCAGGGCTTACAATCTGTCACTGATTCTTCCTGGCTATGTGACCTTGCAATAAGTTACTTAACCTCCCTGAGCCTCACTACCTTACCTGTTAAAATGGACTAATAGTAAGTTCAATCCCCATAGGATTGTTCAGAAGATTTTAGGAGCTAATACAAGTAAAGCACCTAGGACATTGTCTGGCAGGTGGCAATGCCAGCTGGAGGTGTTTTTATTATTTCAAAATTTTGGAGTTGTCCTAATACCTAGATTAGATCACCCAAAACACGGTTGAAAGGAAACAATACAGGCACTTTCCAGTAGGTGTGACCACTGGCACGGGGTCCTGCCCCATGGGATCCAGAGACCCCAGTAGTTCCTACTCTGGGCCACCACTCACCTCTGTGTCTTGCAGTGGGAAAGCCCATCGAGGTGCCGAAGACACCACATCCCTCCCAAGAAGAGGTGGACAAGCTGCACCAGCGCTACATGAAGGAACTGAGCAACCTCTTCGAAACCCACAAGCTCAAGTACAACGTCCCAAAAGACCAACACTTGGAGTTCTGTTGAGTACCTCTCCAGAGGAACAGCTGCCCCAAAGGGCAGGGCTGGCATTAGGGAGGGAGGTGCAGTGATCCCAAAAGGCTTCCTGAAGGTGTCTGTTGAACACATCTCCAGAGCCTTCACTGACTCCTGCATCTCCACCCCATGCCAGGCCCCAGGTCACATCTGGCTCGTGGCAGAGGAAACCAGACTCTGGCATCAGGGATTTGCTCTCCTGCACTGACTCCTCTGTAATGAACCCTCTCCTTGGTTCTGCCCACCTGAGAAATGGGAGAGATACTGAGAGAGAATGATGTCTGTGTCTCTGTCCTCTGTGGTCCTGTTACTCAATGAGCAAAACAAAGAACAGCTCCAGTTAGCAGATTTCTCTTCTTCTGTCTTGAGTGACAGCACAGAAGCAGCCACCAGCCGCAGCCCTTTCTCCTACAAGCTCCCTCATCCTGCATCCTGCCTGTCCCAGCTCCTCCCTCCCTGAGCTGGAGTGGAGGGTGAGGTCACAACCTCTTGGCTCATCCTGGCACCTCTGAGTTTCTGGATCCTCTGAGCCCCGTATGGCAGCCAGAGGGGTCTGGAGGTGGGGAAGACCTGAGCTCTGTCACTGGCTAAATGACTACACCAACCTCTTCAACCTCCCTCCGAATCTCAGTTTTCCCAAGGGCTAAAATGACCTCTGACCTTGGCTCTAATGGCACATAGGCTGAAAGCTGCTTACAGTAACTCCTACTCTATCCTTTGTAATTCAGCCCTGAACTTGGGCTCCATATATGTCAATTCATCACATGAAAGATTCTATTTTACTTTTTTGTCATCCTCCCTACCTAACTGAAAACATTGGTCAAAGACTCCTATTTAATCCCAGCCTGGTTTCACAGCCCTCCTGCCCTATTTCCTCTTCCCAGACAGTGGCTCAGATGGACCAGAGAAAGGCATGTTACCTCTTCCTCCCTGATCAATCAGCTCCAAATTACCACCTCTGGTCTATTCTGTGGGAGAGAAGAGGGAGGCTATGTACAGACACAGGGCAGAACAGGCAAAAGATGAAGGCCCTCAGGGATTGGCAGAACTGGAGTCTCTTCTTAAAATTAGGCTGCCCTGGAAGCAACCTAGATGTCCATCAGCAGATAAATGCATAAGAAAGCTGTGGTACATATACACAATGGAATATTACTCATCCATTAAAAAGAATACATTTGAATCCGTTCTAATGAGGTGGATGAAACTGGAGCCTATTATACAGAGTGAAGTAAGCCAGAAAGAAAAACACCAATACAGTATACTAACACATATATATGGAATTTAGGAAGATGGTAACAATAACTCTGTATGCAAGACAGCAAAAAAGACACAGATGTATTGAACAGTCTTTTGGACTCTGGGAGAGGGTGAGGGAGGGATGATATGGGAGAATGGCATTGAAACATGTAAATTATCATATGTGAAACAAGTCGCCAGTCCAGTTTCGATGCATGAGACAGGGTGCTCGGTGCTAGTGCACTGGGATGACTCAGAGGGATGGGATGGGGAGGGAGGTGGGAGGGGGGTTCAGGATGGGGAACACAGATACACCCATGGAGGATTCAAGTCAATATATGGCAAAACCAATACAATATTGTAAAGTAAAATAAATAATTAATTAAAAGAAAAAAAATTAGGCTGCCCTTTGATATGGAAGAAGTTCTCAGACAAGACATCATTACCCACAGGGGACAAAGGACCTACTGGGGCCCAGCCTGATGATACTGCTTGATGGTGACAACAAATAGGACAGATGTCAGCCAGCACAGCTCTGCCAGCAGCCACATGGCCTGGCCCAGCCTCACCCTCTCAGGAGAACTGGGCTTTGCTAGAGATAAGAGGAGGCAGAGGTGGAGCATAGAGCAAGGCAGAGAGGAGGAGAGGGCAGAGCACACATGGGCGAGACTTCCTGATGAGGGCCAGGCTCAAAGTGAGGTTTAGGGAACAGGAGGCTGAGGCTTAGGCCTTTGTGCAGCAAACTTCTATGGTGATGGGAGTGGGCAGGGCAGACAAGGTCCCTGAGGATGCCTGGCCTGCTGTCTGGGAGACTACTGTGCAGTCCAGGGGTCAGGAATTCATCCCCTCTTGTAGGGAGGAGCCATGGGAGGTGCTTGAGCTGAATCGGGTCATGGGCCAGATGGAGGAGCAATGGATCCCTCAGACTGGACCTAGCATCTGTCTAGAGACCCCACAGCAGGGCAGAGTCAGCTCCCTGAGCCACTTTCTAAGAACCCACTATGTCCTGGGCTCTGGGTGGATGCTTCACATAGAGTACTCAACATAACTGACATGACTTTTTCATAATTAAATTAGGTTCATGTCAGAGATGTTAAAGGATTACAGTCATCCTGGTCCCAGGCGGCTATCACATGCTGCTCTCATCTTGCCTGGTTCTGGTCTGAAACTGTGCAGAATTAGAAATGGCAGGTGTCTGGGAACCAGTCAGGCACACAGTCCCTACCCCCCAATACCCCTCTGCTGGCATTAGGACCCCATACAGGTCAGATTCCCTCATTGAGTCCAGTGCCTTCACCTTTAAATGGTTCATCCATAAATGACTATTGAATAAATAACAGCTCTTCTTCACCCTTTCCATTTATAAATTCCTAGAAAAGTTTTTGAAAGAGCTGTGAAATTTTGTGTCTATCACAGACCAGGTTTGGACTTTTCTTGGATTCTATGTCTTTCCCTCACTCCCTGCCAGAAAGCTGACCTGAGTGTTTCCCTTTTCAGTCTGTTAAACTGGTATATCCACGTACATCCAGTTACGTTCTTAGTGAGAGAATGAATAGAAATAGATGGGTAGAAAGACTCTGTCTAAGAGGCCCTAAAAACACAAAAAGACAGTAACAAATTTGTGCACTATCAATAAAATGTCAATGATTAAGGATCAAAGGTGCCCCCGGTCCCCAGCTTTAAAAAAATGTAAGAATTGTCCAGCCTCCTTCCTAAGAGGCCAGCATTAGGAATACTCTAGATTAGTGCATCTCAAAATATCTGTGGTAAAGGAGCAGATTTTATATATATTTTTTCTAATCCATCATTGACCTATCCATTTGTAAAATACAATATAAATTACCCCAGAAATGAAATAAGAAAACAAAGCAAACATAGTGTAAATCAAATGTTTTAAATTATTTGACTATTTATTTTATTCTTGGCTGCCGTGGATCTTCATTGCTGTGTGCGGGCTTTCTCCAGCTGCAGCCAGTGGGGTCTACCCTTCCTTGCAGTTTGCGGGTTTTCGGGCTTCTCATTGCGCTGGTTTCTCTTGTGATGGAGCAAAGGCTCTAGGCCCGAGGGCTCAGTAGTTGCAGCACACAGGCTTAGTTGCCCTGCAGCACGTGGAATCTTCCCAGACCAGGAATAGAACCCACACCCCCTGAACTGGCAGGCAGACTCTCAACCATTGGACTACCAGGAAAGTCCTCAATTTTTTTATTATTACACATAGAACCACTCTGTCACGTTGCTCTAAGGTTTCTGAGCAGTTTCTTTCCAACTCTCTTACCTTGTCAGGAACCAGTAACAGGCAGCTCGTGGACACAGGCAGGTCCTCAGACCACACAGGAGCAGCACTGCGCCAGGACATAGGCTGCTGCCTGGTTGTTGGCCTGTAAGAGGGTTGTGAGGTGAGGGGCACAGAATCCCCAGTGGACTGCTGAGCGCTGTACACTAGGGGTCACTAGGGGCTGTTGTCTCAGGCCCTGATACCCAGTAGGATTAGGAGATCTGGGAAGGAACTGTCTGAGGTCACACAGCTGGAAAGTGGCCAGTACAGGACTGGTCTCAGCTCTCATCCAGGGCTCTTCCAACCTGCCCTGAAGGAGGACCCTGGAAAACCCCTCCCAGATGCACCTTCAAGGATGGAGGTGTGGTCCCAACTGCAGAGCTGCCTGCACAGGGGAAACTGATCCTAAGATAGATCCAGGCGGGATGTCAGCCTCAGCCACTTTAGCCTAATTCAGGACCACTCTGATGGGTCATTTTGGTTTGCATTTGCCCCTTGCACAATTCCACTGTCTTCCTTCCACAAAAACTTTAGCCCAAATCAGGAGCACTCCGATGGGCCATTTTGGTTCAACTTCTCCCTCTGCCCAATTCCACTGCCTTTTCTTTCTCTCACAGTTGTTGATGCCTAGGCTCCCCTTAATAAGCATTCTGCAGACTAAACACTATCACGGAATCCACCTCTTGGAAAACCCATCCTGAGACATCACACATATATGAAGGATGAATTCCCAATATGAGGCTCAGAGAGGTTAACTAACTTGTCCAAAGTCACTCAGATTTCATGTGGTTTTTACACTTGCAGAGCCAGGACTTGAACTCAAGTCTGACTGCAAAGCCAGAACCATTTGCCTTGTGAGTGTGACCTCCTGATTACAAGCCTGGAAACAATGAGTAGAAGGGGGAAAGTCAGGTTTAATTTGTGAAATTTAAAGTAACTCAATACAAAATGACACATCATTTTGGAAGACTTTTTGGCAGTTTCTGACAAAGTTAAATATAGGCTTATTGTATAACACAACAATAATGCTCCAAGTATACACTCAAGTGTTTTGAAAATATGTCCACACAACAATCTACACATCAGTATCTATATAGCAGCCTTATTCATAATCTCCAGTCACTAGGAGCAACCAAGATATCCTTCAGTGGGTGAACTGAAAAACACACTGTGCTCCATCTATACAATGGAATACTGCTCAGAAACAATGAGAAATGAGCTATTCAACAACAACATGAATGAGCCAGAAACACATTTTTTTAAAGGAAAGAAGCCATTAAAATGGCTACACTGTATTTGATTCCATTCATATGATTTTCTGGAAAAGGATAATTACAGGAATGGAAAACAAGTTAGCAGAAATCAGGGATTTAAGGAGTAAGAACCTTTGATGGGGGAAGCAAGGGAGTTGTTTAGGATTGTACAACAAATCTATGTGGTATTGTAGGATGTATACATGAGACTACATATTTGTCAAAACCCACAAATGGTGAATTTTAATATATAGAAATTAAAATTTAAAACTCAGGACTTCCCTGGTTAAGACTCTGCTTTGACTGCATAGGCACAGGTTTAATCCTTGGTTGGGAAACTGAGATCCTACTGGCCACAAAGCATGGCCAAATAAATAAATAAAACAAGCTTAAAAATTAACCAAGAAGTTGATGAATCCCAGGATGGAATGTAGACCATGACCAAAGAATCTTAACTGAATTACAAATGTATGAGAAAATCTCATGGAACTGAGTGAAGAAAAAGGGCTGACCAAAGTAATTTTGGAGAATAGTGTATTGACTAGAAACTGCCAAATTATAAATATGGGTTAATATATAGACCTGTATCTCCAAGCTCTGTCTTCTGAGAGAGCCTGAAAACAATGCCTCCCCAGTAGCAAGTAGCATAGAGACCCAAACTGTTGTTTCTAATACATTCTCTAATGAATGGATTTCTGAGATACTTAGAGAAATAACTGGTGCTAGGGTAAGGCCAAGGAACTTCCCAAGTGGCTCAGCAGTAAAGAGTTCACCTGCAATGCAGGAGACCCAGTTTGATCCCCGGGTTGGGAAAATCCCCTGGAGGAGGGCACAGCAACCCACTCCAGTATTCTTGCCTGGAGGATCACATAGACAGAGGAACCTGGCAGGCCACAGTTCATAGGGTCGCAAAGAGTCGGACATGACTGAAACAGCTGAGCACACACTCAGGGTAGGGTCAGACTATAAGATGAGTCTCACAGTGTCAGAAGTAAGGGAGTGGTCAAAACACAAAAACGACAGGAGCATCTCAAAGAAACACAGGAGCCAAACTGGAAAAGCTCCCAAGGGCCACGGCTGGAACAATTTGACTAACAAAACAAATAACATACTGTTTTGCATTATAACCCAAAGTATAAATAAATGTCCACAATGCATACTAATATAAATATGACTGAATAATTAATATACAGGGTAGAAGAGAGCGTCCTTTATAGAAGAATCCCGAGTAACTCATATAGACACTGTGCTCTCAAGGAGGTGGTGTACAACCCTCCACACTTGAGCTGGGTTAAGCCTAGTGGCTTGTTTTCATGAGTCAACTAAGGAAAGAGCAGAGGGGAAAAAAGAGTTG